ATTTGTACATAGGCACAGGATGTACCTTTATCTATCCATTATGTCGTGAGAGAAACTGAATTCTCTGGACTTCTTAAATACCCTCTTAAAAACACATTATAGAATGCTGCCATGCGTCAAAACTCTCTGGATTTTCTTACAGCTATGTTTCATAGCCAAAATCTGCAGAGCAAGACTCAGAAAACAGGACTGGGCATGCCAAAGGGGAACATTTGCCACTTCACCAAATGTTAGTGACAGCATGCTGCTTCTTCCAGCACAATGACATCTTTATTTGTGCTAAATCTGGTCCTCCTTCCTCGACCAGCGTGGGGCTGGATGAAAGAATAAGGTCAATGTCTAACTTCTTATAATTTTTACCTGAGCCTGCATTACAGCCAAAGTGACATGATAGGTGTCCACAGAAACAGCAACTGGGGACTGCTGAGTAACAGAGACAGGGAATTTCACAGCTTCAGCTGACAGATGGCAGCACAGCACCTAGGGAGAAGAGATGAGTTTCTATCCCAAAAAGAGCCAGTTGTGTTACTCTCCCCACGTTCTACAATGTGAACCTGCCACTTTAGACTCTGTACGTGAGGCAGTAAGGACAAATTGGTGACAGTAGCTCTCTTCTCTCCACTGTAGGAGAAGATGTTTGGGCTCAGCATTCATACACCCCGCCTCCACCAACACATCTCCCCTCATGGAGCTCTCCGAGAGCTCAGTGATGTACAGCCCCAGAGCCTCTGAACAGGAGACACGCCTTCAAACTCTACAACAGACCTTGCCCAAAACTTCCTCGGTCCCACCATCCCTGTCACAAAGGTCTCAGCAATCTCCATAGAACACATCATCGGTCAATGTACAATTCAGAACAGCAAAGACTTACCATGCCATGGTCCAACTGGCCCTTGCACGTCACACAATTTATATTTGTGGCTGGTGGTAACTGAGGACCCTCTTCAAATGTGATCTGCACTGAACCCTATGAAGAGAAAACTCTGTTAGCTCCCAATAGTCAGAGTAGCCCAGACAGTTTCAAAGAGGATGAATGATTCTGATGTGGGAACCCAGAGATGCTCCAGTCTGTTTTCAAAATCCAGTCAGCACAGAAAACCATCCCACAGTGCAATTCTACCCACCTCGGCTTGTCCATACAGCGAAAAGAAACAAAGTCTCCATTTAAGGCTCAAACTCACTAACGCTATGTTAATTTCAGACAGATAAGCCCAAATAAGAATGGAAAAATTGTTCCGGATAGTAGATCAAGTGTGCTAACCCTTCACCATTGCAGAAGCTTTGCTGTTTCTTCTCTCTCTTCCCCTCTGTGCTAATCCTGCTTCAAAGAAAGAAAAATACCAAACCACCACCACCAAAACAAAAAATCCCCAAACTAAATAAACAATTAACAACAACGAAATCCACACCCTCAGCATATGGTACATCAGCTCCTCTGCCCAATTTTTCCCTTTTTTCCACCCTCTCCTAGTTTATTAGATTACAATCTCCACTGTGAAGACATCCCTCTTCTTCATCTGAGGATTTCCCTCTATCCCCATATTATAGGACCGGTTCTGTAAGAAGAATCCCTCTCGAGAAACACAAGACCAAGATAAAGAGCTGAGAGCATCCCTGAACAAAACCTAGCCCTCAGAGATTCCCTCTGCTCACAAGGGACAAAAAGAGAGAGAGAACAGGCAATCTGGGCACTAGGACATGACCATTTGCTGAGCTGATTGCATTTTAGGGCCAGGATGATCGAAAGGGATGACAGAAATACAGTAGAATCTGAGTAAATCACCATGTGACAGAAAAGCACAGTTTATCAGATATGGACAACTGCTGACACTTCGATCATGGTATTGTGTTGAGGGACATGGAAGTAGAGGGTGCCTTTCCCGGTGGGGGGGGGAGGCACTTCACACTGAATCTAGCCCAGAATTTGTCACCTTGTCAAAAGGGGTGACAATTTTTCTGCCTTGCCGGAAAAAAAGTTTGCATCCTTATTCAAGGCTTTGACTGCTTTTTCTTCAAACATGTTAGCCTCATGCTAACCTCTTTTACCTCTTGATTTTCCTATACCACTTAAGAGAAATGCCCTCCCCTTCCCGTTCACACGACAGAAAAAAAAAGGAGACTACAACAGACTTCGGAGAGCTTTGGACCACAGCTGTTTGTGGGCATTAAGCCCCTGCCTTGCTTAAGCAATTATTTGCTATAAGCAATTATTTCCATGCGAAAATCAGCTAGGTATATTCTTCTTCATGAACGCCAAAACTACGCATCAGTATAAAAGCAATACTGGGAGAATAAAGGAAATAAATACCCGACAAATTTTTAAGAAATTGCTGTGGAAACCGGCTCCCCACAGGTGGCTCGGCTCCTGCCCCAACCCAGGATAAATGAGCGCGGTACCAGCACTCGCGGGAGCGACGCCCTGGCCCGCGCAGGCCGAGCCGAGCCACCCGCAAGGCTCCCAGTGCCCTCCGGACGAGGAAGTGCTGCCCCGGCACCAGCGAACAAAGGGCGGGCGGACTGGCAGCCCCACCTCAGCTCAGCTCCGCTCCCTTCGCCGCCGCCGCCCCCCGCACTCCCCCGGCCGGGCCCCGCCGTACCCCGTGCCGGCGCGCCTGGCTGTTGAGGGCTCGCACCCAGGCCCGCTGCCACTGCTCCCGCAAGGACCGAAGGGTGAGCAGCGCGGCGAGCAGCGCCCGGGCCCCGGCCTCCTCCGCCGCCGCCCCGCGCCGCCGCGGCGCCCGCAGGGCCGCGGACCGCCAGTACTGCAGCAGCCAGGCCGCCACTGTGAGCAGCGAGGCTGCGAAGAGCAGCACCAGCGCGGCCCAGCCCAAGTCCGGTCCCATGGCGCGGGGGGTCAGGGCATGGCGGGCGGGCGGCCCTGCGGGAGCGGAGGGGAGGCGGCGCCGCTCCACTCACGGCACCGGGCGCACGTGGCCCCGCCGCAGCCCCGCGCGCGCTCCCGCCGCCGCCGCCTCCTTTTTTCTTCCGGCGCGGCGGAGCGCGCGCGCCCCCCGCGGCCCGGAGGGACCGCTGGGCCTGTGCCGCCCGCTGCTCGCCCCGCGCCTCCACGGCCAGGGACCCTCCCGGCGGCTGCCGCCAGCCTTCTCTTCTGCGAGTCTGAAAGCCCAGCTCCCCCACCGGCTTTCCGAGCTCCCATTAACGGCGCTTTTCTCTTCACGTCACGCTCCTTCCCGCTAGGAGCCGCTGCCCCGTTCGCACCAGGCACGCAGGACTCGCCACCGAGGTGGAACCTTTCCGTTCGTCTGCTTCAGTTTGTGCCACCCTTCGCTGTGGAGCAAAAGCAACGCGAGTTTTGATCGCCTCACGACAGTCGCAACCCAAGGCCAGGTGGTGGCGATTCCTTGGTGCTGCAGCTTCAGAGTCTCTGGCCAGCCAGAGACCATCACGCCTCTGTGCTGTGCTTTCCTCCCCAGCAGTACTATGTGCCCGCTTCAAAGTTTATTTAAAGTTTACAAATTCACGTTCAACAGACAACCGAGCAGAGGCGGCCTCTCAACGCAGCAGCAGCTCTCTAGGTGGCACGGAGAAGGCCATCAGAAAGCATTTCCGGTTGCCACAGAGATGCAAGGCACGAGAAAGTGCTTCTTGCTGCTGCTACTGGACTTTTCACTGCCTCTCCCCTTTGGTGATTTACTCACACCTGAATGAACATCTGTGCATGGACATCGCGCCTATCCTGCCGCGTCCCCCCCAAAAAAAAACGGAAGAAAAAAAAAAAGAAGCCCCGACGGTCCCACAGCTGTTACAGATTCCCTGGCAACTGAAAATGTCGAGTAAGGTATTTTACTGAATTTTCCCAACATCCGCAGGGCAACGGAACCAACGGCCGCTCCGTTCTCCGCTCTTGGCCATCCTGCACCCCGGTAATCCGGCTCCCCGCCCCGGCGGACGGCGGTGACTACGACGCTCCCCAGACCACAGCAAAACGCGGTTCCGGCTGTGGGGAGGTGGGGGGAGCCGCCGGCCTTTGCCCCCTCCCCGCGGCGGGGGAAGGGACGTACCTGCGGCTCGCGGGTCGCCGCGGCGGCCATGGTGGGGGGGGCACTGTGGGGCGGAGTCCGTGGCGAGGCCGCCCCCGCGCCAGGGCGAGCGCTGCTCCCGGCGCGGAGCTTTGCTGCGCGGATCCCGGCGCCGGGCACAGACGCGGCCAAAAGCCCTCCCGGTCCCAGCCGGCGTCCGACCAGAGCCCCGTGCCGGCGGGCAGCTCACGCCAGGGCCAAAGATGGCGCCTCCGTCCCCGATAGGCCGCAGAGGCCCCGCGCAGCCGGCACCGCCCCTGTAGCGCCCGGCCAGGGAGGTGGCGGGAGGCGCCCCCGCCCCGCCCCGCTCCTTGCCCTTGGCAGGGCCAGCGCCCGCCGCGGCCATGGCGGCCTTGCCCGTCGTGCCCCTCCTCATCAACCTCGGCGGGTCGCTGCTGGGCTTCGCGGCCACGCTCACGCTGATCCCGGCCTTCACCGACCGCTTCCTCGCTGCGCGGCTCTTCGGGGAGGACCTCAACAAGGCCTCGCGGCGGCCCGTGTGAGTAGCGCTGCCCGCCGGAGCTGCCCCGCGCGGCCAGCCCGGGCCCGGCTGACTCCCCGCTCTGCCTTCCTTCCAGCCCCGAAGCACAGGGCGTCATCAGCGGTGCCGTGTTCCTAATCATCCTCTTCTGCTTCATCCCCGTGCCCTTCCTGAGGTGCTTTGTGGAGGAGCAGTGTGCGGCCTTTCCTCACGACGAGGTGAGGCTTGCCTGGCACAGCGAGCGCAGCAGGCTCGGGCCGGGAGCGGCCACTGGTGACCGGGGTCCTGTTCTCTGTCCTGCAGTTCGTGGAGCTCATCGGTTCGCTCCTTGCCATCTGCTGCATGATTTTCCTGGGCTTTGCAGATGACGTTTTGAACCTGCGCTGGCGCCACAAGCTGCTTCTTCCTACCATGGCTTCCCTCCCACTGCTCATGGTTTACTTCACCAACTTTGGGAACACGACCATTGTGGTGCCTAAGCCCTTCCGGGTGCTGCTGGGCATGCACTTGGACCTGGGTGAGTTATGAGTCACCAGAAGCCATCATCCAACTGGTGAGCAATTGGTGGAAGGAATCACCTGAAGCTGTCTGTGCTGCAGAGAGAGCAAACAAAAGGATTTGGTTAAGTAACCAGTGAAAGGGTGGAACTCCACCCACTAAATATTAGGGTGAAAGAACATCCAGAAACCCAGCACACGTTCAGTTGTGAATAGATAGGCACCGATCATTTTCCGATGATTCTGACAGTACGGGTGTACACAACACCTAGTTGCTAACACCAGCACGACTGAAAGAGAGACAGAACCCTGCAGCCTGCCCCCGCGGCAGTTTGCTGCAGTCGCAGCGCTGTATGTATGTGTACACATGATGGCCAGCTCATAGGAGAGGAAGCAATCTATTTGCAAGCTACCACAATCAAAACTCACTGAGACTGTTAGGTAAAGGATTGTTGTACAAAGCAAGAAGTGAGAGCTTTGGTGAATTGGCCCAGGGCCTGCTTTGCCTGCCAGTACTAAAGCATTTGGCTTGCTCTGATCTGTAGGTATCCTCTACTATGTGTACATGGGCATGCTGGCAGTGTTCTGCACCAACGCCATCAACATTCTCGCTGGAATTAACGGGATTGAAGCAGGACAGTCGCTGGTGATAGCTGCTTCCATTATCATATTCAACATTGTAGAGTTAAATGGTAAGGAAAATAACAAACATCTGTGGGTACAAAAAGCAAAGGGAGATTGAATCCTAGTCTGCAATAGCTGTTATTAATAAAAATCAGCCAGTCCTGTCTTATCACAAACAAACACATGTTTTCCTTTTTTCTATAGGCGATTATCGAGATGATCACATCTTTTCTCTCTACTTCATGATTCCCTTTTTTTTTACCACGCTGGGCCTATTTTACCACAACTGGTAAGAGGAAGGACATCAGTTTCTTTGGAAGCATCCTTTCCCTCTACTTTCTCCCTTTTCAAACACACAAACCACTTAACAATGTGCAGATGGGATGCTGGAGGGTAGATAGGCTTCTTGCCAGAACTAAGAGCACAAAGCATTTATGTGGTGGTAGCTTTACTTTTTATTAGAACAGTTGTGGTCCCACCAGCACACCCAAATGCACAGAGTCAGAATACACTCCCTCCCATGCCTCACTGGACGTCTTTTCCTACCGTATTCTCTACAAGTCGGGTGGTGAGTCCCAGTCCTGCAGTTCTTAGAATAAATACCTACAATTGTTTTTACTGTGTAGATCTGCTGCAGATCCCTCTTGGCCCCTAACCTGTGATGTGGGCATGTGTTCAGTGGTTAGAAAGTAATTTGCATGGCAACAGTAATCATGACAGACCTTTGCTTTTCTGCCCCATGGATTGCAGGTACCCATCTCGAGTGTTTGTTGGGGACACCTTCTGCTACTTTGCCGGCATGACCTTTGCTGTGGTGGGGATCTTGGGGCACTTCAGCAAAACCATGCTGCTTTTCTTCATCCCACAAGTGCTCAATTTCCTCTACTCCTTGCCTCAACTCTTCCACATCATTCCTTGTCCCCGTCACCGGCTGCCAAGGTAATGTACCTGAGTGACCTATAGTGGTACCACAGATTGTGTCTATCTTCAACACCAGCTGAGAAAGGTGGTGATAGGTGGTCTTTTTAAAAGCCATTGAAGTATGTTTTCTAGTTAAAAGGTAGCCAGCTCACTCTGTCAGCTACAGTTGAGTCATACTGTAGAGGTTTCTCAGAAAAGTGAACTTTTCTGACCACCCCACTCCTCAGATAGAGAATATTTTTAACAATATTAGAATATGATGATTCTCAGCTACAAGATTGAGAGAAGTTGACACAGGCTGCTTTTAATGCTGTTGCAGTGAGATCTGCTAAGATTTCATAGTAGCAAGCATTCTGCAGCACTATGCCATGTCAGCTACTGTCTCTGCAGATGTTAGATTCTTCTGTTTTAGTCTTTAAACTATACAGCTTTATGCATATATAGGCGGTACAGGGGAAGAGGAGTCTCCTCTGCTCCCTCTGAGGGACTAGGTATCAGCAGCTGTTGTTACTTTTTTTTTTCCTCCACTGGATTTCTTTCTTGGCTACTCGGCTGTGCATCTAAGTCTGCTTACATAGGGGTCTCTCTGTCTCATTGTTTTATCTGGACTAAATTTTTAATGCTTCTTTTAGGCTTAACCCTACTACAGGAAAGTTGGAGATGAGCTACTCCAAATTCAAAACTAAGAGCCTCTCTGCCCTAGGATCAAACATTCTGAAGGTAATACCCAGAAAACATTCAAAATTCAGATGCATTTTGAGGCAGTGGTCAAATGCAAAAGGAGCAAGATGGAAGGGAATGCAAAACTTCTGGGTTCAGTAGTTATTTCCTGGCTCAAATCCAGAACAAAATATTCTGCTTATTCTGTTACCATCCCTCATGGTCACTTGATTGTTTTAATAATCAGTCTTTCAGAATAACCACACATAGCAGTGTCCCAGGACCATCATAAGCCCGTCCTGTCTTTATAGTAAGAACACAGGCCAGATTTCAGGGATGGTACAGCAAAAGGGCTCTTGAACAAAACCAAGCCAGTGAGCACCAAACGTACCTGGTGCAATAATGTGCAATATTTCTTTCCCCAGGTAGTCAAGATCTTGCATGTAGTAGATGTGAGGAGTGGAATGGATGAAGATGGCGAATACACTGAATGCAATAATATGACACTTATTAACTTTGTCATAAAGCTGATTGGACCCACCCAGGAGCGGAATCTCACTCTTCTATTGCTACTCATTCAGGTCAGACAACAGGTTCCTCGGGTAGAAAGATGTACGCTAGAATGGAAACAGATCCAAGCCAGTCTCAAGAGTTTTAAGGGGAAAGGGGGAAGTAAATTATCGTGCTCTTCACACAAGATGCATTTGAGCTGTGGAACTTAGAGAGGCTTACACAGCTCAAGGAGGAAGCAAATTCACATGCACACCTCCCTGTTCATTGAGAGCTTATAAAAACAAAGTCTCTAGGTTAGCTTGAGGAGATTCCCAAGGCACAGATTATTGGCTGCAAGAAAAACATGAGGACAGCAGAGTGCTTTGTGACTCTGACCAAGTACAGCCTTTCTGCGTGTTCCTGTTTGTCAGTCAGAGCAAATGAGAGTTATCTCTGACAGGTGGACTTGTGTAAGGGTGGCACAAGGCTCAGCAGTCCCCAGAATCTGAGCAGAAGCATTTTGGAGCCACTTGGAACACAAGGATAATACACCTCACAGATACTGCCACTACCCCTATTCAGCATATGAACTCTCATGGATGATATAGTAGAAACACCACTATTGGAAAGGCAAGCATTGGTTAATTGCCTATGATAAATTCTTTTTTTCAATCTCAGATTTAAGATAAGAGGGTCTTATTACAAAAGAGACACTTAGCAAAATTCCCATTCAGGAGAAAGGACTTCCAACAGAAGCCTGTAGAACAGACCTTAGGCAGATGTCATCGGGGATCGCAGAAGACAGGAAGTACAGAGAGCCCAGTCACAGCAAAGAATTCCTGACAGCACCTTATTGTAAGGATGCTGAATTGCAGAGGTATTTTCCATTACAAACCATATTATATTATGATATAGGCTCCTTAAGGAGGAATGAGTTATTCCCAACCGTTCATTTCATCCACATGTTCTCAGAATGTAACCGTGTGCAGGCACACGCAGAAATCCCCCACTGATACCTATAATTCTCAAAGAAATTGGGTCTGTGGATAGACTATACCTAAAAAATTTAGCCTATATGTTGCTGTTTAATCAAAGGAGGCATGCTGGAAAGCTTAGCAAATCCATATGGAAAGGAGAAATCTGACAGCCTGTAGACTATTCAACACTGTAATGTTTCTGTTGTATGTCTTTTTTACCTAGGTCCTGGGCAGCACCATTGCATTTTCCATCCGGTACCAACTAGTGCGTTTGTTTTATGATGTCTGACTGGACCGTCAGGAGTAGGGGAAAGAGTTGTACCAGCCAGTCCATTTTCTCCAGTTGCTGATCAAATGATTCAACTGATCTTACTCTAGCCCTCTGAGAACCTCAGAACACCTGTCAAAACACAAGCAACTGCTCTACGTGGGCTAGTCTTGAACCGTTTGTTCTGGGGTTTTTTGGTGCATCAAAGGCTTTTGTCCAATTCTGTTGATGGAAAGGGTTCACTGTTACTTGGACATCACTGTTACTGGGAATACCTTTCAGAGGGAAAGCAAATGACCCAAATGTTTACTGACAGGGAAGTGGGAAAGATGGAATCTCTATACATCTAACAAGGATGTTACTGTTCCTCAAGAGAGAAAACAGTAACTTTAAATTCTGTGAGATGCTGTAGAGCACAATGAGTAAACCAGATTTCGCTCCTGGGCTTTTCCAATCCTTTGGTCCGTGGACATAGAGCGACATGTTATAAACCATGCTCAAAACTCAGAACGCTCCAAGAATAAAATAACTCATGGTACCCTTTCCCCCTGCAGTGCTTTGCCACAACAGTATTGACATGCAGTAAAACTGGGTTACATAATCCCTCCCTGTACCTTTCTACCCTGCTAGGGGGCTGATCATTTCTGCAGTTGACTCCCTCCTTTTTTATGGCTACTAGGAATGTTCCCTGCTGATGGGCTTTTAATTTTGAACATCATCATCTGCCTTCCTCCGTGGAAGAGGACACATCTGGAACAGGCTAGCAGAGTAAGGATCGCTGTATCCTTAGATTAACATGGAACTAAGACCCTGCAGGCTGCCATTATCTTCTCATCAAATATAAATCATTACCTATATAGCAGTATAGCACCATAGTTCAAGACAGAATTGCTACTTACCCAGCAGAAAAACACAGAACAGCCATTGGAGCACTGGGTTAAAGAGTCTGCACAAGATTAACAGCAGTGAAAAGTGAAATAATGCAACGGCAAAAACAGGGATGCTGAGGTGGCCGAGTAGGAGTTGCCAGGTCTAGTACCTTAATAGATGCAAGGCTACTGTACCTCCACACACCCACATCCAGCCAGTAGCGAGGCTTGGGGTGTTTTTCCAGTATGCAAAAACATGTATGTCCAGTGGCGCTGAGCAACAGAGACAACACACAGCACTCAAGCGTGGATGGCACGAGTGCCAAATCCTCTTCCTCTTCTCCAGTTCGTAAGTCTACTAGTAGATATTTATAAACACATACATACACAAACATTACAAAACCCTTCCGTACGTGGCCTTAAAACACTCGGTCTGTCCAAAAATGTGCTGCTGGATTTCATGGCATATGGAGAGAAATTAATCTCTCTGCTCTGATCCAGTAGGCAAAGCCCAGACAGCCACCCCGTTTTCTTCAGTAAGCTGGCTTAGCCCTACCTCCAGTAAGCATCCTGCCCACCCTGATCTCCCATATGAGATCCTGGATACCTGGCTCTAAATCCTACTCACTCTGGTCTGGCTCGTTCACTAGGGATCGCACATCTTTTCGTTCCACCCTAGCCCTGGCCCCTCCCCTCCCTGCATGCACTGAGGTCTTCCTGTTTGCTGGAACTGCATACACACTGGCCCCTTTGACCTATGGCCTGATGCCAGTGGCTGGTACTTAAGACCTCCAGACATACATAAACACACAGGGTTGACAGTCCCCTCACCCTAGAAAAAAAAACTAGAAATGGACTTTAGTGATATGGGACAGGCTGCAGAGATAATTATTACTGATCAGCAACATATTAAGACATGGCCACTTTCTTCACACTTTTTTTCCTTCAATGGTCCCATATTTTTTTCCTCCTAGTCAGCTTTGACTCCTTCCCTGCCTTTGGTGCTTCCCTTACTATACTATACTTACCCATACTATAAACCCATAATACATCTCACACGCCCCCACAATCCCCTAAAAGGATCTCATGGTAGGTTTTCATTCCCAAATGCTCTTCCCCTGTATGAATGAGGACACCCGTTGGCCTGCAGGCATCCCAGGTGCCCTCCTGCCTCACTCTGGATGGAAGCCAGGCCAAGACCAAAGCCCAGGGCCAGAGGCTGACTCCAGTCCTCAAAACCTCTGGGAGCAGCCCAGGAGGGGGACCATCGTGCTGTTTCGGCCATCGCGTGCCTCATCTACCATCACTCCTCTGCCCCTTTGGTCCAATCCCCTAGTAACCTGAGAGCTGGCAGAGCCAGAGCTCCTCACACAGACCTGACCTTGCAGCTTTACCCGCTGCTATCCGGAGCACCGGACGGACAGCACGAGGGACTCCGCGGGACCGGCCGCTAGTCCTGCCAGACCCTCCGCTCGGGAGGCGCCGCAAAACCCCCGCACACCTCCAACGGCCTCGGCGCGGTTTAAATTTGGCGCCGCGCTCGGTGATTGGCTGGGCCCGGCCGCCAATACACTCAGGGCAAACGCGGCGGCGTCTCACAGAGGACCAGTCAGCAAAAAGCTTCTTACGGCAGACGCACCAATAGCGAGGCGCGGTGTCGGTGTCCAATGAGCTGAGTCCTACTTGACGGAAGGTTATAAAAGGCCCCGGCGAGGCCGGTGCCGCCTCAGTTGGCCACAGCGGCCGGAGCGAGCAGCGAGGCGCCATGTCCGGCCGTGGCAAGAGCGGCGGTAAGGCCCGCGCTAAGGCCAAGTCTCGCTCGTCCCGGGCTGGGCTGCAGTTTCCGGTCGGGCGCGTTCACCGGTTGCTGCGACGCGGGCACTACGCGGAGCGGGTGGGGGCTGGCGCGCCCGTGTACCTAGCGGCCGTGCTCGAGTACCTGACGGCCGAGATCCTGGAGCTGGCGGGCAACGCGGCGCGGGACAACAAGAAGACGCGGATCATCCCCCGTCACCTGCAGCTGGCGGTACGCAACGACGAGGAGCTCAACAAGCTGCTGGGCGGCGTCACCATCGCGCAGGGCGGCGTCCTGCCCAACATCCAGGCCGTGCTGCTGCCCAAGAAGACGAGCGGCGGCGCCGCGAGCCCCGCCAAGGCCGGCAAGAAGGGCAGCGGGCAGCAGTCACAGGAGTACTAGGCCGGCCGCCCCTCCGGCGCCACACAAAAGGCCCTTTTCAGGGCCACCCCATTGCTCACGAGGAGAGCTGTAATCCGGGGAGGAGGGGGGGGGGGGGGCGGGCCGGCTGGGGGGACGAGCAGGAGCTGGCCCGAGGCCCGTCAGACACAGAACACAAGAGCTGCTCTGTAAGGGCTCGTAATTTACTTGTATTTACCTCTCTTACCTTCAGTGGACGTTGCATAGAGAATAAACAGTGCTTCATTAACAAAACAGGACCCCAATAGGGTGCCATTTCAGTATTTCTACAAGGCACTGTAACACACAAGCCTTGCCGGGATGATGGTGACCCAGTAGTGAGTGCAAGGAGCCAAAGTAAAGAGCTGTTACAAAGAAAGGCACAATAGCCCAAATTTGGGCTTCTGCTTCAGCTCCCCATTCACTGGCTAGTGGAGATAAACTGGCTCAGATTACCCTTGTGGGCAAGCACTCAACGGCTGTCCACTCCCTCATTTAATCCTGACAAATTGGCAAATCTGCATCTACCTGATAACTGCAGACTTAATTTACCTTAACGGAGAGCAAGGTTGAAAGTGGTATCTGTGCTACTTTACTAAAGCAAACATGGTATCATCAGCCTGATGGGAGCCTTCAGTAGTCCAGTGAGTGAACTGGCCCAAATAAGGCACCCTCTCAGCACAGTACAGCATTTTAGTACCAGCACAGTTGAGTCTCCAATTATAATCTGTAATGAGCACTTTGTTCCTAAATGGAATAGAACGCTTACTGATTTTTATTTTTAATTTTTGCTTTTAACTTCCTAGCTACAAAAATTGTTGAAAATACTTCAAAGAGACACTTGGCAATTTAGAGAAATGTGGAAAGGGATGAAAACCCTGAACAGCACAAACTACTCAAGTTAGTTAGCTTATTATTTCAGGTTTTTGCACCCAAACATCAGGCAAGACTGGTATGAGTAAATAAATCCCATCCTCCAGAGGATGATGGTGTAGCTGCAGTCTTGTAGCTGGTGTTGTAGCACTCCTGGCTGCACCGAGTTCAGTGTGTGTCATTGAGCTGCCTTGCCACGCTAAGGATATGCTTTGCTCCCTTGCTAAGAAGTAAATTAGCCAGTTCAACACCCAGGTTCTCTGCAGCTTCCTGGGCCTGATTAGGGACACTCTTGGCTGTGATGCCAACATGCTGCACATCATCGTTTGGTCCATCTTCATTCTGCAAATAAAAAGACCCCTAGGTAAGGCAGCAGGGAGGAGCAGGCAAGGAGCTGTTTCGGACGCCCACAAAACAGGGTAAAATCTGGTATGAGGAGCCTCGAGAACAGTGTGCTGTTACAACTTCCAAGGAACCAGACCAAAAGTAATCTATTTCTAAAGGTCTGGGTTTTGTCATTTAGCTTCAGGTTTGAATTTTGAAGCCACTGAGGGGCACGTACCTGATGGGGGTAGTTGACACTGGTCTGCATAGTCTCCTTCAGGCTATCGGATCCATCCAAGCTGTAGACTGCTCCTGTCAAGTACAACTTGGAAAGACAGAATGGATTAATACCATATTAACAAACAAACAGCCAACTACCCCCTCTTTAAAAAAACCCCACCCAACATACAAAGCTAAGTCTGGAGGGGAAGGCTTTTGTCATGCAGTAGGGACAGCAAGAATAGCAGTACAATACAAGCATAAGAGAAGAAATCCCTGTTAAGGAAGATGCAACTTCCCAAGGAAAAGGATGGAATTTTTTTCTCGTTTCCCACCTCCTTAATCACACTCCATTGTCTAAAAACAGATTTGGTGGGGTCAGAAGCTAGACTTTCAGATCTCAGGGCAACACTACCTTAAAATAAGCAAGGGGGGTGAGAGGGGAAATCTGGTATGTATTACAAAGGAATTTTCTAGAAGATAGCTTCAGTAGCCAGACCCATTCATGGAAGGGCCAAGTCAGGAGACTATCTGCCCTAATCAGCTATAAAGATATCTGCTGAAATTATCTTCAGGGAAGGATCAGGGACACACTTGGAATAGGTTTTCAGAAATAATCCCAGAAAAGAACAAAGTACTCCTCACCTGGCCATCCTTCAGCAGGGTGCTGACAGCAACAGGGACACTACATCCACCTTCCTGAAACAAAAAGCAGCTGATGCTAAGGCTCCTACCCAACACTTGCAAAGCAGAGGCCTCTGAAAAGTTTAGGCTGCACACAACCCCCACCCATTACTTTTCAGGCCCTTCTTGATTCAGAAGTAATCCTTCCTTCACAGTTTTAGGGAAGCGTAATGGATTTCCCATACTATGGCATCAAGTCAACTAGCAGAGCAGTATTTACTGGTGCAGGCAGAAGAGCAAGGATGCCAGACGTACCAAACGCTTCATAAAGGCTCTCTCAGCAATGCAGCACAACACAGTGTCTGCATCATGCAGGGCAGATACCATATCCAGTATCTCTTGGTCTTTGGCACGAACTTCCACTGCTAAGGCACCCTAGAAGAAGAAACACACAACAAAATATAGTAATTCTTCAACTTCATGCATCTGTGTGTGCACTCACCACTGACCATGAAATAGAACTTAGTGGCTCAAACGCTTTTCACTAAGGGAGTGATGTTTACAGAAATGAATTACAAAACACTCTACTGGCTGCAGAGTCATCCTATAGCAGCTGCTATGAACAGATGATCGGAGCTTAATCAGCCGAATGTTAAAGGTCACGCTGCCACCTCAAACCACTCTAGAACCTATCTCAATTATGTCTGCATATATAGAAACACCCACCCTACTGTGCCTTTGGGATGAGAAGGCTGGATAAATCCAACGTTTACAACCTTTTATCAAGAAACAGATCAAGTGCTGAATGAGTAACAATGACAAAACAATTATTTCCTAAATTGGATATACAGTGGGGCAGGGGGTGCAGGGCACTGCACAGTACCTGACCAACACATGATCAAAATCACTGTTTCAGAACGCATGTGCAGATTGGTCACTTGCAATCACTAATGGCTCTGGTTTAGCAAGTTTGACACCAGCTGAGCAATCCTGTGTAAACTCAGCCACGTGCCCAGAACAGACTGGAACCACTCGCCTGCCCACAAACAAGAGCCCTAAGAATGTGCTCCAAGACAACTGTTTCAGCTCCACCCTGCAGGAGTCAGGACACCATAAGGGAGAAGGATGGAGTGTCAGAGGGCAAAGATGCTGCAGCAGCTCTGCACAACTGTCCTGGTGCACTGTAACACCAACCCTGCGAGAACCTGCCCCACACCTGCTGTGTCACCCATCCTAGCTGTGCTTGTGTTACCCTTCCCATTTACTGTTCTTCCATTATGAACAGAAATCAGCCCCCACCACACTGAGTAACTGAGCTGACTCCATTCTTCCAACAAGCTGTGCCTAAAACAGCATAACGGCCAACAAAAGAGATGGATGTAATATTTTTTTGGCAACCGAAAAACAAGAAGTCTTCGGCACAATTAGCCACTCAAGACACATTGTGCTGCTGCTGGCTTTCAGTACATAGCCTGGCTTAAAGAACAAAAGTTGTAACATACCTGTCCAACAGCATACAGACAATCTTCAGGGCCTAGGAGCTGGAAGAAAGTAAAATCAGAGTTAAGTCGCAGTGTTCCGAATATAGGAAACAGGAGCCAAATTTTATGCTTGTCTCTAATACCAACTGATTTCATGTCAGACCAAAGAAATATCACCTTTCCCTTCCCATGCCCCAGTGTTTGCACTGCTAAAGTGAAACAATGCACCTTCCATCAACTGGACTGTAGCACTTTGTGAAATAGCCAATCACAAGGATCTGAGTCTTGCACAACACTGCGTTGCCAGACATGAGTGCTGCAAACTGCTGGGAGATGACCAGATCACAAACTGTTACTGAACCATGGAAAGCTGAACAGTATAAATTTCTGTATGAAGGAAAAAGCAACCAACCAAAAAAAACCCCCAGAACTCTTCCCTGAAGCACCTCAAATCACAAGCTAACATGGCAATGGAGTCAGCAGACTGCATGCTCATCTTGGACAGGACAACCACAAGGTCTGAAACACAAGCAGTTGAGGCAGAGAACGGTATTTTCTGCTTTGCTGCTCCTCACCTGGCCAATGCGATGCTCCCAGCCCATCCTCTTCAGCCCAGCAGCAGCCAGGATGATGGCACTGAAGTCTTCCTTCTCATCTAGCTTTTTTAGGCGGGTATTTAAGTTCCCCCTCTGTAGAAGTGGTTAAGCAAGCATAGAAACAGCAGGCAAGCAGTCCTACAACCACATGAGCATTTACAGACTGTACAGAATCCAACAGCCTTCAAATGAGAACATCAGTACCATCCTGAAAGAAGTGTTAAATATGGACAATTGTTTCTTTAAATAGAATTTTGCCAAGCATTATGGAATATTAATTCAAGTGCTGACTCTGCACGTCATTTAAGTATTAATACCCAGCTCCTTCTGCACTCCAAAGAACTCGGCTCCTAGGACCGAAGTAACAATGCCTTCTCTCAGTAGTTCAGCCACCCACATTGGAACTAGTGGTCCAAATCACATCCAGGGTTACTGGGAACCCACTGGCATTTGGTCACACGCCTTCAACAAACATGGGAGGCACCGTTCCTCAAACACTGCACAGCATACAATCCAATGCATCCTGAACCCTAGTGAGATCACAGCTGGCCCCTTGTTCACGGCCTCCCGATAAAGCAGAAGATAGAATGGCTACAGTGCTACCCCCATCCTCTGAACAGGGTACCAGGGGGCAGGCAGCCTTTGAGGAAACAGTTTGTTCTTCTAGGTCAGCGGCTACAAATCAGCCTTGAATGTAGACTTTGCATTGAGTTGTATTTTCCCCTCTGCAGCTTTACCCAGCTCCCACGTTTTGCCAGGAAAGGATACAATATCCCTGAATTGTAACTGAGGGAACTTCTTTTTGAGCTGAGCTGCTCTCCGAAGTGAACTGGTTCCAATCACACTGTAGGCAAAAATAGAATCAGTGAAATACAGCATACTCCTAACACCTCCAGACAGAAGTATGACAGAACTTTCAAGGAAACAAATGGTAACTTTTTTTTTTACATATATATTGAAGTGAAGATCTAAGAATCAGATTTATATCTCCTTAGAAGAAAGAAAACCACTCTGTGAAATTTAGCATAAAGCCTGGCTGAAGCCGCACCCAAGGAGACAATCTACAGGATATGCTTCTGGAGAGCAGCCCCAGTCACTGTCAAGGACTGATAAACCTCATTTAAAGTCCACAACATTTATATTAGAAAAAAGACTTGGCTGTCCCAAAATGAAGCAGACAAAACCAGATAACCAAAGTGACTAAAATGGATGGACTTCATCAGTGACATAGATGCAGTAAATAGAGAACCTTTAAGAGCCTAATTGGAAACCACAGAAAACTGCCAGTCTAGGCAGTGAGCATTTCCTTTCTCAAGATGTAAGCTGTTTACTTCTCTTCACAGAATCACAGAATATGCTGATTTGGAAGGGACTCATCAGGATCATCAATCGAGTTCCAGCTCCTCACCCTACACCCTAACAATCCCACCATGTGCCTGAGAGCATTGTCCAAATGATTCTTGAACTCTCTCAGGCTTGCTGCTGTGACCATTTCTCTGGGGAATCCGTTCCAGTGCTCAACCGCCCTCTGGGGGAAAAAACCTTTTCCTAATATCCAGCCTAAACCTCCCCTGACATAGCTCCAGCCATTTGCTCAAGTCTTATCACTGGTCATGAGAGTGAAGAGATCGGTACCTGCCCCTCCGCTTCCCCCTCTTGGTAAACTAGATCCTAGACCAGACATGATTTTCCTGCTATCCAAATGTACAGAAGCACGAGTCTATGTTTCTATTACAGCTAGTTTATTTCTTTCACTTTAACACAGAAAAAAATATCTTTCTAATAGCTACCTTAATTTGAGTAATTTCACTCAGCTGTCTCAGACAAAAGATTCCAATAACCTCTATTAAAGGGCAGGTAATTCAAAACGGGAAAACCACAAGGAAGTGATGCCAAAAAAATCGAGGAAAAAGTCAGAACTGGCTGAGTGAGAACAAAAGCATAGTTCAGGTCCATGAAAGCCAAAATCCTGCACTGGACACCCTATCTGCATTGTATGCATTCCCCTGCAGTAGGCACAATACAAGGAAGCAGGAATTCACTCTGGAGATCCTGAACAGAAAGCGTCTAACTTGAGAATCAGCACTGCAGCTCTAGGGTGGCTTGAGAGATCCAGTCTCAGACAGTGTGCAGCACTCCCTGCTGCTGCTCTTCCCAGCTAGTGAGTGCAGTGTAATGTCTGTGGAACACTCACAAAAGGCAGTGTAAAATCACTACAGGATAAAGCAAGGAGCTCATGGACTTGCTACTGGAAAGAATCAACCAACTGCCCCCTTCTGTTTTCACACCTGTCTTCCCCTTCCTCTCCCACTCACCTCTTTTCAGGAAGGAGGCTCAGTGTTTTTCCACAGTTTTTGGGATGAAAGACAACAGCATCAAGTGGGTTTTCCCTTCTGCAAAATAATACAAGCACAGAATGAATGACACATCATTTAAGGGAAGGCAGTTCTGCTATCAGTCCCTGGAGGAACAGCCTTTGGCTCCAAAATACCCCATCGTCATTGTAAAAGCAAGTATTTTCAGCACACCTGCTGGCAATGGAACACTAGGGCAGTTCTGATGTTTCCACTGTTCTGGAGATTATTCAGAGGGTGACAAAACTTTGAACACATAAACAGGCCTAAGCTGCCTTTGCTCTTCTTTACCAACACTGTAAAATGCAAGCTCTTCAGAGAATCAAGCCTAATGTTCACACTTACTTGCAGACGGCGCCGATTGTAAAGCCAGGAGGAAGGGAAGTTGGCAAGTCCTTCAAGGAGTGAACCACAAGGTCAACTCTAAAAATTAGAGGGTAGTAATCAGCGAACAGATTGTTGAGCTCATGAGGTGATCTATCAGAGGCCCGCAGGTCACCTACAGAAAAGTTTGAACCCACTCTGGGAATTAATCTGGAGAAGAGAGGAATTTCAGGATTCCACAGCCAGAATTACTACAGAGTTCTTATGTTACTCCAAAAAAAGCTACTTCACCTTTCTCTGCCTCTCTTTTCCCCTTGGGATAATGCCTTCCTTCCAGTAGTGATGCAAGACACTTTAGAAACAATTAAGTTGAATGAGGGGAAGATGCTGGGGATGTTCACACAGAGAGACTCATACCAATATGCATCAGTCTGGGGGCTGGGTTATGCTTCAAACCGAAAGTGGCAGCAACTCAAACTACAGGGCACCTGCTTCATCACACAGCAAGTGAACATCATCATAAATGCCTGAGTCCCCAGTATGTTTTCACCAACTTCACTGAAAATGAAGTATGATGTAACTATGTGGCAGAGATAAAGAAGAATACCTTTGTTTTTAAACATCCTTTAACTAAGGCAACACTCCTCAGAATATTAAAAAAGAAAAAGAGATTAAAAAACAACAACAACCCAACACCTCAATCCCACGAAAACACCACTAATCTCTCTCTCCTCCAGCAGGAGCCTGAACCAAGGTTTTCTGTAGAGAGAAGTTAGAACACAACACAACTTGCCCATGCCAAATTCTCCTGCGCATTTTGCTTGCAAACATGTTAACAAATGTTAATATGCTAACGATAAATATGTTTTGCAATACATTACCATCAGCAAGTAAAATATTTTTAAAAGAACATACTCATAAGCAGAAATCAAATGAAATTACATCCTCTGATGCATACATAATACACATATCACAGAATAAAAGAAACCAAACTGCGGCAGACAAAGTGACACAACTCCAATTCAAATACATGGCCTAAGCCCTGGGCAGAGAGAGAAAAGGGAAAGAAAAAGACGGTGACTTATCGAAGGATTTCTTTTTTTAGCCAGAGGTACCAGAATGGAAGGAAAGTAGATCACATATGCAGCAAGCCAAAGATGTCCAAAGAGCAACAAATGCCAGAAGAAGAAAGGAAAACAATAAGCTCTTACTCATTTTTTTCAAGTGCATTTTCCAACTCTTTGGTGAAGAGGCTCTTCTCCCCGATCTACACATAAACAGAAGGACATGAATCACAAAAGAAGCATCAGTCAATATAACTTCAAATTTAGTTAGTTCTTGTATAGAGGAAGAAGAGATTCTTTACCTTGGAAAGTGCTGTATCCAAGATCTTGTCTCCAGTTGTTGACATGGCAACTGCTCAGAGACAGTACAGGTAAAATGTGAGGCTCAGTAAGAGCACTGGGCTTAGGCTGAAAACACCTATGTGAAATGCCACACGCAGTGCAGTGTCACACACTGCTGGGTGAGCACCGACTCAGGCTCAGTACAAGAGCAGCTCACTTCTAGAAATACCTGCACTCAAGACAAGTGAAGTGGAGACTTCCTTCACTGTCATCAAAACCAAAGCAAGGGGAAAGGGGGCAGGTTTGGGAAGAGCTGACCCAATGGAAACTGCCACAGTCTGTCTCTAGAGTGCCAGTGAACACATATGCAGCAGTTCTCTTCAGTGCAAGGCTAAGCTCCCATTATTCCTGTTGAAAGCCTCAAGCCTCAGACCAGAAAATGCCCCTAATGCTCCGTGCGGTGCAGCCAGAATGATACCAGGTTTGCAAACAGAGCAACAGAACACCATCTGCATCACGTACTCAGCACTTCAGTCATCAAAAGCCTATGAAATCCATCTTTCTCCTCTGGAAGAAACCAGCAGCAACTGCTAAGCCACACAACATAACTGAATTCAGACTGCACTCTTAGATAAGTGGGGTCAAATCCTCCTCCTCCTGACTCTACACACACCTCTCGCACACAAAGATAACCAACTGGCTCCTGCTGCCATCCACCCCCAGGGCAGCATCCAAAAAAACTTACCAATCTCAAAGTGGAGGTCAGGGTACAGCTCACGGAGGATCGTAACCACGCTGTCGGTCTGAATCCGGGCCAGCTGCAAGGAAGCAGAAAGTCCTAAAGAAAGAGTGCATTGTCCATACGGTAGCTAAGGAGGCTTTGCTATTCTTCAACAGTCAGGCATGCATGCTCAGTACATTCTCTTGAAATCAAAAGCATTAGAAATAGGTTGCCTCAAGTAAAATCACTCATAGGTACAAACTTCTTGAACTGTGTGAATTCCTATCATGACCAGACCACTGCACTGAAGAACTTTTTTTATTCCCTAAGTGGCACAACATTTCCCTGTGTCCAGTGCTGTTGTGATCCAAGCACTCATGAGGCACAGCAAATTATCAAGTTAGGAGAAGTGACTAGAGCAGAAGCCTGCAGATCAGGATTCTCATGCTTCTACTTGTGTTTCACCTCTGTGGAACACAACTGCTGAATGACACCCGCTCATCAGCAAGTGGGCAGAAAAGTAAGCAAAACCGTCCTCCTGTTGCTCAGTGATGAAAGAATAAGTCATATTGCACACTGGGTAGCCTCTTGCTTTCTCTAAGAGTATGAATTTTACCAATACTGCAAGTTTTGGGAGAAGCCAATGGGATTTCACTGTGCTGCTGGAAAAATCTATAGTTACTGTCAAATGCAAGTTACTTATCCTCTGTAAGAACAGAGCTTTATTTATAGGTTCTACAGACACACACAGAAAAGTAACACCTTACATCGTCATGTACAGCAAGCAACAAATCTCAAAGCAGTGAACTGCAAGAAGAACGTTCCTTTGCATAAGAACAGCAGAAGCACGTAAAATAAACCCAGAATCACACAGTGTATCATCATTCCACAGATGCAAGAAGCAGCAGACTCAAGCAACTACAGGTGAGTTTCAGCTTTTCTCCCACCGAGGGGCTAAGGACCCTTTGGTAATTAACGTGGTTCTCAGGACTGTAGTTTCCCTACAAGTAAAATGACAGTAAGTAGCTGCTTCCCTTTGTAAAGTGCCCCAAGAGCCTCAGGTTAGAAAATTAGGCAGCACACAGGCACGGCTATGTCCCTTGCCCTGATGTCTACACAAAATGCCTTCGTGACAGTACGGAATTTTTCCTAGAACGTGCTACCAGAAGGAACGAGATTATCTCAGAACAAAGGTCTGAGGGTCGCTTATCTCCCTTTGCGAGGCTGCTCCTCCCGCTGCAGCCCGCTGGCAAGAGATACCTGCTGTATCTCCGGACACGTCCCTTCCCTGCCCTTGAGCGGGCTGCAGCCGTCAGTCATTGGCGTTTTTTCCCTGCGAGAGCTGCACAGGCCTTGCAAGTGACACAGCCCCCGCCAGACCCGGGAAGGCCCCGCGCCTCACCCCCGGTTCCCGCGCCGGGGCAGCGCTCCCAGAGCCGGCTGCCCCCGGGCTCCGAAGGGAGCGCTTTCCAAACTTCTTGCCGGAGTCCCAAGGAAGGAACTGGAACGCGCGGGCTTCGGAAGCTCAGCCCTTCCCTCAGCCCCGAGGAGTCCGCGTCGGCCGGAACGAGTCGGGTACCGGGGCGGGAGCGCTCCCCGCGCCCCGGCCCCGCTGCTGCCTACCTGGCTCCGGCGGGTGCCCACGCGGACCGCTCTGCCCTCCACGCCGTTCTCGCCCCGCGGCAGGGGCGGGTCAGCGCCCGGGTCATCGCCTGCCCCGCCGGACCCTGTGCCGTTCCCCGCTCGGTCCCGGCCCCCTCCGGCCGCTCCCGTGCCCGGTTCCGCCATCACCGCCGGCCTCGAGCCGCGCCGAGCACGTCACCGCCGGCCCCGCCCCCGCGGCCCTCAGGGAGCCCCGCCCTCCGCCCTCCGCCCCGCCCCTGCAGGCCCCGCCCTCCCGGCACTCGGCCCGGTCAGTCCGGTCTGCGGGGGCCGAGGGGACGCTCCGGATGCGGCACTGCCAGGCCAGGCTGGTTTACTGGGGCCAAGGGGTCTGATTTATTGAGGACACTGCGGGGGACTCCGTACAACCGAGGGGGCGCGTGGACAGGGCCCGGGGTCAGGTGCTGCGCTTGGTGTGGATGAGCAGCTCCCGCTGCAGGCCAGCCTCGAGCGTCGTCGCCGCCTTTCCCGAGGGCAAGTCCGTGATGAGTGTGAGCTTATTGAAGACGCCACGACCGAAGTAGTCAGCAACAACAGAGAAGCCATCGTTGGAACACTTGAGCTGCCAGACACACATTAGCAGCATCAGCAGAAGCCTCCAGAGCCTCTTGCCTCCAGCCCCTTTCCTTTCAATCCCTGCACTTAGAGCCCCGTTATTAGGGACAGGGCAGCCCATGTCACTCCCTGGCTCTTTGCTCATTCCATGCAAGGACTGCATGTAGCAGAGGAAGATGGCAGATTTGCTGCCACTGGCCATTCCACCTCATGTTTCGAACCTACATCTGAGCCATGCATGGAGGAGATAATGAACAACTGAATTAAGCGGGAAGGTGACTGCCTCAGCTGCTCTAGTTTCCACATATGCTCCATTCTCAACTTCACTGCTTCATCCTTGGGAAACACAACATTTTGGTCCTGTCCCCATTATGATTCACACAATTTTTTTTCCTTTCTCCCTGATTTGTTCTATACAACTCGTTGACCAGCTGTGACACTGACCAATAGGTCTCGACCCATCTGAGCATAAGGTGAGAATGGATTCCCTTTCACCTTCTCAGTGACAAGAACTCTCCGTGCCCTCTACACAATGCAGTCACCCTAGGGTCTAATGCCTCATTATTGAGACTCAACCTTGTTTACAAAATACTTTCAAGCCTTCCCCTTTTCTACCAGCCTCCATGGGTCTGTAAATGAATCTAAACTCTATTTATTTCAACTTGGCAATATTACCCTACCTGATGCTGAAACTGGTCGTGCAGATCTCTCTTCTGCTCCTGGGCTCGGATCATGTCCATGACTTTGCGATTTTCTGGCATGCAAGTAGGACATTCCGAATCGCTCTCGGAGTAGCTTTCAAAGCAGTGCTGGTGGAAGGAATGACCGCACAGGAAGTGGACTGAAGGCAGCTCCAATGCACTGGTGCAAATGCTACACTTGGTCTTCTGAAAGATCTTGGGACTAAGGGAGTGACGAGATGGAGAAGCATGAGAAAGACAAACTGTATTTTACCTTAATAAAAGAAAACAGCAGTTCTATCCTTACATAGGACAAGACAAGACAGCACACACTCCTGCACCTTGCTTTTAGCTCTTCAATCTCCTGGCGGATCCTTGTAGTTTCTTCTCTGTATTTTTGAATTCTCTGCTCATCCTGCTCTATCTGGCGACTCTGCTTCTGCAGCTTGTTGACAAGATAATCCTTAATCACAGACAGGGTGGCTGTGGAGTTATGAGCCAGCGTCTGCACAACTGAGAGCAACCAAGATGTTAGTTTAAACACAAGCACAAAAAGTTACACTAGTCCTGCCTGGGCAGACTGTTTTCCTGGGAAAGTCCACCTACAGGCAAAAACAGTTCACATTCTTACGGAATTAGAAAAGGCTCTCTTTCAGTTTGACCTCTTCCAGAAAAGGGCAACTGGGAGCATGTCTGGATAGCTCAGACCAAAAGAAGCAAAGCAAGGATCGAGTAGTGGATTGGATTCCAGTTCAACTTCTCCACCAAGGCACAGCAGGAATTTCAGCAAGCCCTTCACTGCCCCACACTGACAGAACAGAAATCATGTACAGACATCTCACTGATACTATAGATCTTTTTACCTAATTAGGGAGCTGTGACTCACATAGCTTTTCCCTACAGAGCAGGGAATATTACTTCAAATGGTGGGCTCCAAATTCGTTGATTCACCTCTCAAATTTCTGATCTATACAGACTGCTACAAACTAGTTTGGGTTGAATTTTTTTGTGGTTTGGGGTTTTTTTTCTTGGTTTTTGCTTGGGTTAGGGTTTTTTTTGGAGGGGTGCTGTGGGTTGAGTGCCACACGTCATTATTACCAAGCAGCGGAGGCATAAGATTCTTGTTCTCAATGTGTTTCAGCACTGCAGCAACGTACTCCTTACAGTCCTCCTCCTTCCGTGCAAAGTAGCCAAGAGCCTGTTCCCAGAGACAAGCCTCCTGGTCTCCATACAACTCACACACCTCGATCACCTTCTTGTACTGCTCATTCTGCATGTGGTAGTGCATGATCTGTTGGAAACTATGAGAGAAAGACTCATCAGCTGCCACAATCCATCTCTCCCCTTGAATTATTACAGGGACCTCAGCTTTCCACCCAGCTATGCAGTCCCCAAACTCACACAGAAGCCAAAGACAAGTCTGTCATTCACTCTCTATGTAACTGCCTTGCTCTAACAACAGGGTATTTCAGCTGAGCAATAAACTACCCTTCCCATCTTGAAACACTAAAGAGGTCACTACCACTGAAGGCACAGACAGTTAAGGCTGAATGGGGGAAGAAGGGGAAGGACTCTACAGACAAGAGCAACACTCACAGTTTGCCCTGCTCATAGAGGTAGAGGACACCATCCTTGAAATTGTGCATCTGACATAAGACCAAGGCCTTATCAAAGACTGTTTTGAACCTTCCACTCTTCAGGAGGGTGAGGGCTTCATCGTGCAGCTTCTCCTTGATCTACAAAGAAGGGGGAGAGGTCAGGGAGAGCAACTCAGACACACACATAGTACACACTATTTTGCACTAAGACCTGACAATTTGCAGCTCTTTCACAGAGGACAGTTTTGCTCTTTGTTCTCTATCCCCTTTAAGCAAACAGGACATGATTTTCTTTGCTCAAACAGCCAGCATCCTCACAGATCTAGGCAAGCAAATAGAGTTACTTTTATGGGTGAGGCATCTGCTCACAGAGGCTGTATTGTGTGGAATCTGTTCTTAAATGAGATTCATACAAAATAAGTTCAGCCTCCCTTAAAGGAGTATTCTCCCAGCTAGCAGGCTGCTTTCCCATTTATGTGCCATTTGTCCAGCACAGCATATGTATTGCCTCTTGTTATCAATGCCCAGCTGGAAAGGTTACGGGTTTGCAGGAATGCAAGTAGGATTCAAAGACACCAAATCTGTCTCTCAAAACACAATGATGGAAGAGCTCAAACCTGCTCATCTTGTTCATGTGCCCAGTTCTGGAGTCGAAGCTCCAGTAAAGTGTCATAGACACCCTGTGGCGAGTCAGCCTGAACCTCAGTCATGTGCTCCAGAAAAGCCTTCAGTTCTCGGGAGTTGTTTGCAAAGACTGGGATGAACTCCTCTGAATTAGCCTATAACATAGACAGAAAGAGACAAGCACCCAAATCAGTCTAAGCTGGACTGGTGCTTCCTCCCTGCCGTGAGGAATGTTCATTTCTGAGACACGACAGATACAGCACGACACAGGATGACAACTACATCAGGAATCAGTTCTGAGCAATAGCCTTAAGTGGTCTCCTGTGTCTGGGACTACCAGTACACCAGGACAGAGTTTCTCATAAAATCACAGAATAGTTTGCATTGTAAGGGACCTTTAAAGGCCATCCAGTCTAATGCCCCTGCAATGAGCTGGGAAATTTTCAACTAGATCAGGTTGCTCAGGACTCCATCCAACTTGACTTGAATATTCATTTCTAGGGATGGGGGCATCTACCACTTCTCTAGGCAACCTAGTCCAGTGTTTTATCACCCTCATCATAAAAAATTTCTTTCTTCTATGTAGTCTAAATCTGCCCTCTTTTAGTTTAAAACCATTACCTCTTGTCCCATTGCAACAGGGCCTGCTAAAAAGTTTGTCCTCTTCTTTCTTATAAGCCACCTTTGAGTACTGAAAGGCTGCAATGAGGTTTCCCTGAAGCCTTCTCTTCTCCAGGCTGGACAACCCCAATTCACTCAGCCTACTCAGCCTTTCTTCAGAACAGAGGTGTTCAATTCACCTGATCATTTTTGTAGCCCTCCTCTGGAGGATATATATATATATGTATATATATATATATACACACACACGCACACATACTTTTAGGTATAAGTCTCATTATATCTAAGCCATCAGGCTGACACCACAAGGTATGCAGAAGCACTCACTTGCTGCAAAGTTACTACTGGAGAGCAACAACTCACTGTCAACACAAATCCTACCTTTTTTCCTTCCAGCATCCCATGGCCTTCACTGTCTCCCGAGGGCCGGTAATCAGTGCAAAGGATCTTCAGCAATTCCGTGGTCTCATTAGGGACATGGTGCATTAGGATTTTACCATAGCGCTTCATGTTACTCTCTGCCTGTTCAAAGGGCAGCTTTCCAATGTAGTGCAAAGCCTCTTGGTAGTTCTGTGGAGACAGCGAACAAAACAATCACAGAACATTGGCCTCTGCTCTCCACTCTGAGGTTAGGACAGAAAGCACTGAAGACGTGCTGTGAGTATGCCACAAACACCATTTGCTCTGAATTATAACCTAGTTCACTATTCCCACTTGTTTGCCTCCTCAGGGAGGAAGACTGGATGTGGCCTGGGGGAGAGACTTAGATGAGTCCCTTGCTACCACCTCTCCCTCCTCTTAAAGGGCACTGTAAAAAGCCACATCTGAAACAGAACAAGTAAGACACTCTGATTTCCACCCCTAGTCCACCACACGTGCCAAAAGGAGAAAGGCATCACACAAGCAGCATCAAGTGTTGTTGCTGCTGCCTCAGCAGTCCCACCAGCATGCTACCCTCAGGAAGGAGGTCAGTGAAATGGTATTCTCATTGAAGAGGAGGCTAGAGATGTGGTGGTCTCCCAAGTAAGAACACGGGAGCAGTTATGTCTCCTCACCTTGATGTCCTCTAACT